AATAGTAATAAATAAACTGGAATAAATGCAACAGATGTGAATTAAGTCTTTAATATAAATTTACCGTAAAATGTTAAAAGTTTCACATACACTTTTGACGTCAGACTGTAGTCGTGAAATTAAGCAGAACTTAATGGTTGAATTCATGAGTCGATTTAAGCTAAATCGCCATGGAAAATCTGGAAGCACTGGACGACCGTTTCATTCTAATATGGGACTCCTCAGCAGTGAGCATTCATGATCGAACCCAGGACCTTTGATCTCGCGCGCGAACGCACTACTGAGGAGTCCTATACTAGGACGAAACGGCTGTTCACTCAGTCAGCTACTACGTAGAACCAGGCACATAGATGCATCAGTCAAAGTTGCCATACCACATTAGCACAACAAGATGAACACCGAATTCATAGAAGTCGTTAATTCAGTGGTGGTAATGTCTAAAAGTTTGCATATCAGAATATAGTACAGGAAGAAAGAATTAGTTCGTAGAAAGAAAGATATAAAGCGATTTTAATCTCACAGTTTAAACGGCCTTCCAGTGCTTCCAGGTTTTCAATGATGGTCTAGCTTAAATGAAGTCATGAATTCAACCATTCAATTACTACAATTTTCATGCACCCTCATTCTAACAATAAAACAGAACTGTTAATAATCCTAAAGTTCCAGGTGACTTCAAACAGTAAAATTAATCTGGTGAAAAATAACATATGAATGCTACAAGTGAAGACGTTAAACAAGTCTCACTGACCTGATATCGCATGCAATATATTGAGATTAGATGCTGCTGATTAGCTCCAATCAACTTAAAAATTATAGACATTTTGAGAATTCCTATTCATAGTGGTTGCTCAGAAAATAGATAAGTCGCGTAGTGTTCCTGGTTCAATGTATCCCTAATAATTCAACTGATTCTGTGAAGATAGGACGTGCTTTTATCATTATTTTCCCCAAGGTTATTAAGTTGATTTAATATAACGGTTTTCCCTCTATTACTTAACTTTGGTCTAGTATTACGTAATTTTTTTGTTATTTCAGTATTACTTACTGCACAATTTTACTTGGATTTATAGTGAAGAATAAATAGTTATTACTCAAAGTTAGATATATCGAATTACTTTCAAAAAATGTATTTACGTTAGTTCCTCACAAACTACAGTATTTTCAACCTGAAATGAATTTGTATTGTCACATAAATTTTTCATACACATAATTCCCTTTATTATCTTATAAGCATATCTCCAATAATGGTGACTTTAAATATTACAGTTCGTAAGCAGCTGATGAAGACCTAACGAAATAGAATGAAGTCATATTATTCTGCACCAATCTTTGTTCTTGCTCTCTTTAACAAATTTTTATTAACTCTAAGTTTATTCAACATTGCTGTGATTAGAAATAGAATTTTTCCAAAGTTCTAATGTTAAATAATTGAACAGAACAGAAAGGATGCCATAAATATATTATTTTAAACATTTCTCAATGTTATTTACACAATCCTAATCAAAACACCTAAGTAAATTGCACAATTTACTGGGAGTCTTCAATGGTTGTACAACCAATTGATTCTGGAATTTATATTTTGGATATGTCTTAGTGTGAAAGATGGTGAGGTTATATTAGATGCTTAAAGAATGAACTGACACCAAGTAACCTAAACATGTTTGATTTGTTATAATATATTACTATCCTTAAAACCAAATCTTTCAATGCGATAAAGTCACATTAACGAAAGGTTAAAAGTTATCCATGAAATGTGGACTACTAATATAGTATATCATCTCCCAAGCTGCTGGAGTAAATTCGAAACATTTAGCCAATAAAAACGTGTGAGTGTACTGGAGAAAGATCAGTACTATCAGTGATTTATGTAATAAAGGCGTCTTTGAAATTGAAGCATGCTACGCAGATCTTAAGTATGGCAGTGTGTTACACACAAACATTTACATAGTAAATATAGTGTTTACTATGGCAGAATAACAGGCGCAATCAAAATGTGAGTCATACACGTTTTATCAGCTCAAGTATCCAGTCACTCATTCACCTACCCATTATTCATTATCGTATATTGGAAAAAAGGTGTCAATCGTCTAAAGATTTCATCTTGATGCTAAACAGACAGGATGATATTGAAAAATATATTGGTAAGCGTCGAAATATTATTTCAAACTGAAATTATGGTGCTTTATAGCTCAGGTGAATGCCTTCAGTGGTGTCACTTTCTCATGTTGAACAGAAAGACAATAAAAGTTCCCCCAGTAGAACCATCCTGCTCAGAGAATGTAACGTCCTAAAAGTATTTCTCATTAAAGTGTAAATACAGCTTTTGAAAAATCTATGATCTAAAAAATATGTACATGGAATAAAAACTCCATAGGGCGAGCCTATTGCTGGTATTCAGTTAACTGAGATTTATCATTGAAGATCTAAGCTTACGATTTCAAAGATAGGGGAGGTCTAATCAAGTATTAAAGTTGATGGGTGATAATGGTCAGTCAGTCAGCTACAACGTAGGACAAGGCACATATATGCATCCGTCCAAGTTGCCATACCGCATTAGCACAGCAAGATGAACACCGCATTTATAGGAGTACTTAAGTCAATGGTGGTAATATATAAAAGAAAGATTGCATATATTACAAGAAGAAAGATTTAGTAGGAAGAAAGAAAGATATGCAGCGATTTTAATCTCTTAGTTTAAAGGAAGACAGAGAGTGTATACACCGACGCCATTGTAATCTATTCTGAGCCATTTCACCAAGAGTCTCCAACCATAGGTTACGATAGTCACGCGGATCCGAGCCAGGTGGTCTGCATCTACCAACATGGCTCAGACCAGAAGTTAGTGTCCTCAAGCACTGATGCCACGTTTTGATTTGGCTGCCTCTAAATTTCTTCCAACCATCCTCAACACCTGATGATAATGAATCAACTTATTAACAAATCAAAATAATTCACGGCATAGAAAGTTAGCCCTACGATATATATATAGCACAGAAGATGTTCAATAAATTGTGTATTCCCCTATTTGTCATTCATTAGAATCAGACTATGTCAATCAACAATCCTGTGTCATACTTTGAATTAGAATACCATGAAACCAAGTATTCCCAATCAGTAAATTTTTGCTAATAGAAATTAAATTAATAGATTCCTCAATATCTTGGAAAATTAGTAATTTTAATAAATGAACTGAAAATCAAATGCGTAAATCCATTAATCATTGTATCATATCAATGTTTTAATGGAGTGAACAACGAAAAAAAAGAGTATGAATAAGTGGAGAAAATTCTACGTGGAAAAAGAAAAAAATTTTTTTGTATTTTTTGAAGAAAAAAATTTATTATCAACATTGGTGGTCATGATCACTTTATTGTATTATGTAACATCAATCTTTTTTTTCTTCTATTTTTTTTACTTTATTTTAAAATAAGGCAAAAACTTTTAAAATTTTCTTTTTCATTTTACACTTTATTTTAAAATGAAAAAAAAAGAATTATGTTAATGTACTTTTTAAAGTGTGTATAAAATTGATGACATTTGTACGCGTATACATACTTATTTATAAGGTACATGTGATTCAGTAATATATAAATTTATTCATTGTTAGCTTGAATTTTTTTGCTCTTTTTTTAATAATAACGGTGATTATTGTGTGGCATGCAAAACTCATTTTAATATAATTTATGTTGTATTCTAGTTTAGTTTATAGTTTAAATACAAACCAAATTTTTATGATTTATTACTGTAATTTATCCTAAGTATTTACAATTATTTGTAACAAGTTATTATTATTATTTTTAGGAAAAAGGACGAGGTGGTCTATTCAATTCTTCCCCTTCCTCATATATGATGATCAGTATCTTGCGAATATTGATAGAATTGTAAAATATATACTGTATAATGGTGAACACTGACTTTGGGCATAGAATACTAAACAAAAAGTTGTTAATCTATGACAATTGAGGTTAGAAAGTAATGTAAATTACAAATATATGACTATAGCTTCCTGGTTGATGTTGATGAGTTAGCTATAATTAATAGTTGGAGGTGTCTGTAATTAATATGATTTCTTAAACTAAAATAGTCATATATAAATGATCACAGTTTATTCAATCTAGAAATCTTTGACATGGCAAGATCTAATTGTTTCAGTAAATGGAATACACCCATTAAGACATTAAGTAAGAAAGATTAGTTCAGCAAAGAGTTCTCTTTTTGGTGAATTTATATATATATATATATATATATATATATATATATATATATATATATACTTATTTTAAAAGATGATAATAATCCTAATAATATTGATAATAAACTTCTGTTAGACATGGTGACAGTGAGGTAAAATAAACAAAGGTATTAAAAATTTTTTAATAAGACAAGGAAAGTTTAATAATCTTTTGATTATTAATGGCTTAAGTATTCATCAAAAGATAGATAAGGAAATTATCCTTGGGAAAGAATGGCTCAGCATGATAAAATAAAATGTTGAAAGTGAGATTAAATGTAACCAGAGTGATCGTAGTAACAGAAATAAACTAGTTAGGGGTTGAAGATTTAAGGGGAAAATGGAAGGTGAAGCAGATAGCTGTAAAGGAAGAAGAGTATGAAGAAAGGAAGAAAAAAAGAAGAAAAATTATTTTACCTCACTGTCACCATGTTTAATAGAAGTTTATTATCAGTATTATTATAATTATTATCATCCCGTTAAATAAGTATATATATTTGCGATTGTACAGCTTTGAAAATGAATTCGCCGAAAAAAGAACTCTTCGTCGAACTAATCTTTCTTATTTAAGATCTAAATTGTCAGTTTAAGTAATATATGTAGTCCTAGTGGAAAGAGAATTCCAATCTAGTTGGTTGATTTCTCATCTTGAAGCATTTATTATGAATTATGTACCATATCATGTTTTCTGAAAACTCCAATCATTATTTCATATGAAAAAATGCATTTAATTACTAGTATAAGCACAAGAAATTGAGTTTATTCTTACCTTTAATACATGGTGCATCAGGTAAACGTGTCTGTTTGTAACCCTCTTGGCAACGATTACATGCTTGCCCAACAACACCTGGTTTACATGGACATTGACCAGTTTTACGATCACAATGTTGATTAGTGATCGATCCAATCGGATGGCATCGACATTCTAAAATGAATATACTTATCACGATTTAATCTTTATTGAATGGTCAATTTATAAAAAAACGTCAATAAATAAACATGCAAAGTGTTGATTCAATGTAAGAACATTTTAAAAACGTTTTCATTGCGAAAAACAATGTCATTTACCTTCTATTAATAACATCATACAAATTGTTGATGGACAAAAATCATGCATTCTATGTAGGTCATTATTCAATACAGGGCCTTCAACATAAACGTATAAAACAATTACTGTATATGCAACGTAAAACTTTTGTCACTATCTCGTATTTACCATGTGAAACGATTTAATTCCTTAGAATTTTTGTGTTTATTTTAGTTTACAGATATCCAGATTAGTATTATTGTGGTTAGCTGTAAAATGTTCAGTGTGAATAACTTGATGAACTTTCATCACAATAAAAAGGTCATTAAAGTATACATCACTCAACATCAGACAATATATTTTAAAGCAGACTTCATCATATCAAGTTTACGATTATCCACAATGTTATGATATTAGTTCGAACTACACATAACTGAACAACTAGTTCTCGATGATCTTCATAAACTTGTTCAAAGACCGTTTCGTTTTTATTCTAAACTTCAATCATTTGTGCTCGGCAACTGAAATTATAAAAACAGGAGTCTGAGTTCGATGATGCTTTCAAGGTTATTTGTGTTGCTGAACTGATACCCGACATACATCAGTCTTTGAAGATATGACTGGTAAATGCAAACTCAACTCTCTTCAGCTACAGAGAGATGAAACGGCAATAATACTGTACAAAGCCAGTCAACTTATGGTATTAGACAACTCATCTCTATTCCAATTCACCAGATCATTTGGGACTGCTTGACGCAACTTTAGTTCCCGTTGTCCCCTTCCTAATCTAATATTGAATAAAGTGAGCAATTTAGTGCTACTTATAGGATTCCTTGGTAACTTTAAGTATTGAGACTTTACTAAGTTTATTTTTTGGTAATGATACTCATAGGACTAATAAGAAAGTGAATGGACTTCCTCTCAGCTAGTTATTTATGCCGATAATGTATAGCTCGTTAAGAAGTACAGCGGTGTACATCTCATTACAGAATATCTACCTGCTGGCAAAACTCTTACCCAAACAGACTTGATCATGGCTAACAGGCTTTGTCCAATCTCTATAGTAACCTGTTACACAATTATGACATCTTCTTCCGACCGTATTATGTTGACAATCTTGACATACACCACCGCTTACTTTCATTGACATTAGATATAACTGGTTTGAAAAAACGCATGAATTCGAGTGCAGATTACAATCGCATCCTAATGTATCATTCACCGAAATCATGCATGAATACATTCAAGGATTCATGCACATATCCATTGGAAATACAAATTTTAAGAATTTATACAACATTTTAGAAAAATAGGTGTATTCATGCAAATATATAAGATACCCACAGTTACCACAACAATGTTGAGTTTGGAAGCGTTTGGTATAATTAGAGCCGTATCGTATGTGTATATATATACATAGGGCGAATAGCGAATCCCCGCCATATTATATGTTTAGTTAATATACAAATAAATAAGTAAATATAACAATAATGAATTAGATACAAACAACGAAAAGAATAACTATATAAAGGCAACAAAATATGAGGCAAAATTCGACTTTTTCCATCCAAGTTTTCATTTGTCCATTAATATTATATGACATCATAAGAATTAATAGTCGAGCTGTTATTAACTGCCTACCTCGACATGCATGCTCATTTCCAATGGTTAGATTAGGATCACGATAATATCCAATTATGCACTGATCACAGTTTGAACCTTCTGTGTGATGTTGGCATGCCAAGCATATACCACCGGTTATACCACCGGAACGCTTGAAAGCTTTTACGCTGAATATACATTGATTAGTGTGATTACCACATTGACAAGCTGTTTTAAAAAAGGAGGCGAATGAATTAACCAACTGAATTATGATCGTTTGTCATCACTATTATATTGTTATTATTAGTAGTAGTATACAGGATTTTTAAAAAGTATTATACCGTCTAACATATTCTGTTTGTATCTGAATAAAAAAATCATAATAATGTCTCTTTTGATTACCTCATCTGCGTAGACTGATCCAAACTCAGAAATAAGTTATCTGGATCTTCAAATATTTTAAAACTGGAATTGAATGATAATTACTTCTGTTAATTTCTAGGAATAGTGAACTCATCCTGAACTAATTTGGCGAATTTCTGTAAATAAATTGACTACTTTACAACTTAAGACACTGCTAAAATCGCTAAGCTCTATTGGTCTGATCATGTAGCTTGCTATGGGACCTGAAGGCTCTGAATTCAGGCTGTAATGAGATTATAGGTCTCAACTCTCTAAAATGTGTAACGCTGCAAAGAAAAATCTGTTCATTACGCTTTGGTAATCAGTTTTAATGCAATTGAGATCAATCTATGGTGAGTACCATAAACAAAATAATAAATATAATTTATGCAGATGATTTTGAGATTGTGTAGAATTAAAAAAAATACTCTTCAATCATAAATTACAACTATCATGTAGAAATTTCCACTTGCCAGTACTACTTTGACTAATGGTTAGGGACTCCAGAGATTATTAGAGGAAAAAAAGATTAGAAAGCCCTAGTCAATCCGTTTTTCATTTTCTTACCAATATCAAACACTTATCCATATGCATAACATTTAAAGATATCTACGAAGAAATTCTTAAAGTTAACCATTAAGACCTTATAGAAGCTTAGAAATTCCCACTATAGAAGTCAGAATTTCTCTCAAATATTTATCTTCTCAGTTAAATCTGATACATTATCCTTCTCTTAAATTATATTCTCTTTTCTTTTTTCACTCTCCCTCTTATGTATTTAGATTTTTTTATGAATAAAGTAGATAAGGTTTTTTATTTCGTCATATCGAGTAAAATGATCTCACTAATATCCCACCACACATTAGTTTTCTTTTTTTAAACCCTCAACTTTACATATTTATACCACTTTTTTTAAATTAAAATGAAATTGAGTATCTTTCTTTTGTTTAAATATTTAAATGTTCAATTAACCGCATTATTATTTTACTTTGTTTTAAATTACGATTTTTCTTTTTAAATAATAAGTACAACTCAATAAATTCGTGATCATTATAATTTATTTAATTGTTTGTTTTTTGTTGTTGACTCCATTTAAACGAGTTTATTTCTCTATAGGAGGATAGAAATAATCAATGACAGAAAAATGAATATAGGACAGGTTTTTACCTTTGATATAGACAGAGAGATATAATGCACATTCTAACATGAATTGGTATTGAAATGCAATAAATTGAATGAATAATAAAATATCAGATCTAATGAATCTAATGGATACGCTTGTTCTGAAACTGTTATTAGGATTTTAGACATTATCAGAGTTATCTTCAAAAGCCTTTCAAAAACAGATTAAGGTTTGGGAATCGATTTACTTTTGAACATTTCACACAATATTAAAATAAAGATAACTAATGAGGTGATCAAGAGATAAGGATTAACAAAATAATGGATTAAACTAAAGAGAGAAATCAGTTTGATATATTATTATTCAATTATTATACAAGATGAAAATTAAATGTATCTCATCACATAAGATTGTCAAACGCTGGTTCTAGAAATTTTGAGAGCCCTAAACAAGTAGTAAACAATTTTTTACATAACTCATATAAACATTCAGTAATTTAGTGAATAAAGTCATACATTGAACTGATCACTTAAACGTTTTCTATGTATACTACTTTCACAAGTAAGAGTTGTCAGTGATTTAGAAAAGGTGAAAACTCAATTAATTTTGGTTCGAGTATACAGTCATTCTGAGTGAGTCATTCTCTGAGTCCAGAGAACGAAACTAACAAAATTCACATATATAATATCCATTTAAAAACGTCCACATTGTAAAGTTGCTTGTAAAGATTTATCCAATTTGAAAATCATTTCTATTACAAATCAATATCAGCTGAAGTCCTGTTAAAGACTAAGGAACACTAGATAGTCGTGTTTTTCTAATGTAGAACTTCTGAACAACACTCACCCCCTAGATCATACTCGGTCAAAGGAAGAATGTAAAAGTTTCGTATTGGGCACGATATTATTGAACTTCTTCATAGAAACCAAACAAATAGTAAGTTCTAACTCCATTCTGCTGACGCACCTTACTGATAAATAGATGGCTGGGATGAGCTATATTACAAAACAATTGTTTATTAATCAAAGACATAGGATGATGGTTTCAGTGTGGTGCGAATCGACTGAAGTTGACATTTTGGATCTTTTATACTACCCCATTCATATAGTTTTCATTGCAAAACTAGAATGTTCTAGTTTCACTTTTGTGAGTTCGTTATTATACAATAGAGATGAGTCACAAATAAGACTTCTGGAACTTATATCATTTGTTGATGGAAACTCTCTCCACATATTTCAATAATATATGATTATTGATCATCATTGTTAGTCCACTTCCTTATTACAGCTTAACTTGGTCTGAATGTAACAATTTCGTTGAAGTAGTTAGGATACACAGAAGCTCATTTTATTTATTTAAACATTAGTTGAGTGACTAATCGCTGATATGTTATGAACTCACTTCATATATGAGTTCCGACTACCACTGACACAACTATCATTACTGCATCTATTCTTCCTCCTACGATTACTGTTAGTAAGAACAATAACAAGCATAATAATAATAGTGACAATAACAGTGACGTAGTTTGTAAACTGTTCAATCGTTTGCACAGTAAATGATTACTTAGACAAACAGAATCGTCTGATGATGTATTTATCAGTTCCTAATCTACCATTAATTATGTTACTTCATTCAAAATATTCTTTAGAATGAGTTAATGTCATTGTGACTAGAAAAATATTTCTTTTTTAATTACGCATAGTATATGTATACATTATAAGACTGAAGGAAATTAAAATGGTTGAAAATACAAATCTCATAAATTACACAAACATAATATTGGTCTAAATTCCTGTTTAAGTATGGTGTAAAATGGTCAAGATTACATACCGTCTGAATACATATGTCCTTTAATAAAATATACTAATTTAAGGTATTGTCGGTTTGGAATAAAATATGATGACAATCCAGACTAATGGTCGAAATAACTGTCATTTTCACATACAGAGAAACCTAAACACCTATCCACACACAAGTGTATATACAACTGTATACTTACGTGCATAGTAACCCAACACATCCATCGATTAGCCATCTAGCTCACCACAATCATGATGCTGACCACCTACTAATGCTGTTATTATGCTAAACTAGAAACACAACGACATGACCTACTTTCAACTTAATTTAATGTTTGTTAGTGTTAAAGTAAGTTTAGGTAATGTATACCTCTCTTCCCTCCCCTCTTATAATTATTGTTGAGAGATTGTTTTCATGTTTAAATAAAATAAGTAATTTATTACTATATGCTTGGTTTACAAGTTTTACGTATGGTGCATACAGTTCGACAGGGCAACACTCTTTGCAAAAGTAGACAAAAAACAATACTATTACTACAACACTGGGAACGATATATATATATATATATATATATATATATATATATATATATATATATATATATATATATATATATATATATATATATATATATATGGAAGAAATGCGAAAATCCGAAAAAGACTGACAAATTGGTGATGAATGCTAACAACTGCCGTTTTAAAAAGCAAGAAGAATTGGCGAGAGAATTAAAGAATAAAGAAGAACACTAAACTTATTAAGTTATTTCTCTAGCCCTTTTTAACAATTTAAGCAATTATAAGGCTAAAAATCTTAATCATAATAACTAGAGTGAATGCATATGAAAACTATGACTGAAGAGGACTTTCCACCATGATTATTATATCGGTCAAGAATATCATTGGGGTCGTGAACTGATAAATGTTAGACAACTATTAAAAACCTAGTATCACCGGACGGCCGTTTCGTCCTGGTATAAGACAGCAGAGAAGTGTGCATCCACGGTCTTTCATGCGGGACTCGAACCCAATGAGAAGCCATGACCAGTAGAGTTAATCTTTGCCTAGTGTAAGGAAGTTACCCACCTAAAACAATGGAGGATGGTCGAGCAATATCGTCTATTTATTGGAGCTAGACATTAGCATCACTGTATGCCGGCTTAATGGTATAGATTTTAAGCGTTCACTCGTGGGCCCGAGGACACTCGGGCCGAGTCCTGCGTGTGGAATCGTGAGTGCACATTTTTAAGGAGTTCCATACTACGATGAAATGGCAG